AAGTGTATTTTAAACACAAATGAATGAGTGGACAAATAACCGTGTTGGTTTGAAACCTAAAGAGTTTCATTTCTAGACACTCTTTCCTCCCCTGGCTGGACATAGATTCAATGGAATCCCATGCAACCTTCCAGGGAAGGTGGCCCAATGTCATTCAAGGACAGACAGCTGGAAGCCTCCTGCTTTTTCAGAGCAGGATTCATAAATGCCAAGCAAAACATTCTGGGACTGCAAACAGGCTAACATAATAAGGGCCAGGCTCATGCCTAGAAACGAGCCCTGGCGGCAGCTGCAGGTCAGGGGAGGTGACAAAAGTGGGGCTGGAGAGAGAGTGCTGGCCCTCTGCCGTGGAGATAATAATGCACCCTGATTAATGCAGTCATGGTTTCAATCTGCGGAGAAGAGTGAGTTTAAGGGGGAAGCAATCAGCATCAGTGCGATAAGACACCGTGGGACTGTGCACAGCTTTAGCATCATCAACTGAAGAACTATGATAAGAAGTATGTGTTCTATCGAGTCTATGGGCACGGGTTCTGTGAAATCTCCTTTCAAAATCCTCTCCTAAAATCAAACAGAACAGCCTATAAATCAAGTATCCACCTGCAGGTGGATCCAAATCACAGGGCGCTTTCTTTTTGAGGTTAGGTAACAAAATAGCTCACTAATGGTTGCTTTTTATAGAAGAAAAGAAAGCTTGGGAGTATTTGAGTAGCCCTAGGACGACTTGCTTCTTTCGTTAAATTAGGCAGCTCAGATTACCTACCTCCCAGCACTGCTGCTAATGGGTGTCAGCCACAGAGAAACATGGGTGTCCTTACTTTCTGGAGATGGCACAGGGTGGAAATAGGCAGGGGAGGGCAAGCTGAGATATTTAACTTGAAAGTAACTTAAAATCTTTTCAATATTAACTTGGATATATTATAGATTAGAACGCAAATTTAGAGTACTTTTTTAATTTAAAAGAGGAGACGTTAAAGAAATTTCAGGTGCTTTGGAATAACCCCTGACTGTCTACCACAGGAGTAGATGTGCAATGCTCCCTGCCTTTCCCCTGAGAGTGATTAAGGCGGAAGTTCTTCCTCAAGACTTTCAGTGAGCTCATTATCAGTTGATCCCAAGTTGGGACATTGTCAAAACATGTCACAATATCTTGAATTCTAGCTGTTGGGTTTTCCATGAGACACAAGGAAAGTGGAACAATTCCACACTGAAAGCGCTTAACTCATAGCTCTCAGAGATATATGCTCATTGGAGCATCTCCATCGTTATTCCTGAACCGTAGTCGTTGCTAAGGTCAGGAAGTCAAAATGGTGCAGACATTTCCACCGGCAACAATCCAGAGCTTCTGAATGATGCTGGGCACTGAATATGACTGCTGCTCATTTATGCACCTTATTTATCCACTGTCCACGGAATATTTGTTTACTTAGGCTAAGTGCCCAAACAGAGCCGGTTAGTCTCCTGGCCTCCCTGTTATCCCTCCGTCAAGCTCTCCATCTTCCACAGCTCTTTGGAATTAAGGGCGTATTTCTAGCTTTCAGGTGAATTAACATAATGGCTGGGTTCACAGAGAATGATAACACTCATCCCGTGAGACTTTTCAGTTCTGCAAGAGAAAAACTCACAGGAAACAATCTGACAATGTTTTGCAGACTATGTAACAAGTTTTTGTCATGGGAAAGGGAAGTACCTTCGAAGCAAAGACAGCTTCCGGCAATATCAATGGTCATCAACATCACCATCTCCCATCACGGTGAAGTGAAGGGCCCTGGGCGTCCTGGACAGCGATGGCTGAGGGCTTTGGGAGACAGCATCATGGACCAGAACCGGAATTGTTATCCATCGGTTCAGCAAAACATCTTGTACTCAGAGACAAGATGGAGGACTGATGTAAATGCCGAAGAATTAGGAAACATCTTGTTCTGGACCTTCTAAAGACCAGAGACTTCTGAGCTTCCTTCACCATGAGGTGACTTATTTGAACCATAGAGTGGCAGGTAATGTTAAGTACTAGGACATCGCTGCCCTCCATTCGAATGGATCTTTAATGGCACACTCTCTTAAAGTAGTCTTCTTTTTTCTCCTAAAAAGTCAGCTTTCCACATTCATGAGAATATCTGATGTCATTTTCTAAACTATTCTCTGACCTGGAGTTTTTCTAGTGCGTCCTTTTCCTGTGTTCTTTGCTAACCCTCTTGGCAAAAATTCCCCATTGGTTTGTACCACCTTGTTGGCTTGTCTATTATCAATGTCAAATTTGGTTCAGAAAAGGTCCCTGAAACATGAATCATGGTGAACTCACATACAGGACAATAATGCTGTCCAAAGTGTGTACTGAGAAGATGGCCCGGCCTTATAAGAAGATGTCTTATAAACAGAGATACCCTCTCCAAATTTTCTCTTGAAATTTAAGGGTATAAACAAAACCTGATGCGGATACTCAAAGACACAACTTCAAGGAGCCTCTGCCTCCAGGGTAGCAGGTGAGGTGAGATGTTTCATTACCGCCAGTATTTGGGCTCTTCTGAGTATTTAGGAGCACACTCTGCTTTTAGTCATTCATTCAACAGAGGTTTATTGAGCACCTACTTGCTAGATGCCAGGCTCATCTGTAGGCACTGTGGATACCGCAGTGGTACTGGGTTCAGACCTGCTCTTTCCTTGATTAGAGAGTGTCCATTAAAGTCCCCAGTATATGTATCACAGAAAAGGACTGGAAGACAATGGAGGCCCCAACCGATTCATCCAGGGGGATACTCTCCATCTTTCCAGGGGTGGGGAGGGCTGCTCAATTCTCAGGCACACCCAGGGGTGAAAGCCAGAAGCTTGGGGTAGGTCTACTGGGAGGGCTCAATGCCGATGGGGACCAGTCCAGATACCTAGGTGGGTAGCAAGGACACTGACTGCCACAGCCAAGCATGGGTCCCAGAAAGAAGAACAGAGAAAGGACCAGGGAACCAGGAGTGAAAAGGGAGGCAAGGATGGAGTTACCAGAAATAAGTCAGAAAAAGAACAGGACCAAACATGTGACTTCAATGACGCAAATGAGTTTGATCAGAAAAGGAAGTGCTGCCTGGCATTCCTGGAAGTCAGCTCCCTGCTCAAAGGGGTTCTCTGGCTTTGGGACTTAGGGATGTTCACTCTCAAGGCACCATCCCAGATCAGTGTTTTTTTTTTTTTTTTTTTTAAAGGATCCTAGTTTCATATCTGAAAGAGTTGTGTCAGCATCAACAAACCAGGCAGAGGATAAGGAAACCTTTATCAGTCGTTTGATCGGGGAATCTACTGAATCTCAGAAAAGAAAAAGAAAACATTGACATTGATCAGTTTTGGCTCTGGCATGAGTCGCAGGGTTCTATCAAACATCCACTGAGGCTGGAGAAAGCAGGATGGAATTCCAAACTTCCACTCTTAAGGGCTCTCATTTGGGGTTAGATTTAACCTGACATTAAGAAAATTTGTTAATTTTGAGGTATTATATGCTATTATGTCAGTAATATTCATCTTTCAGCAGAGGAGTGTTTCTGAGAATATTGTGGTGGCTCATGCAGGAATTGTGTCTAGAAGGGCCAGAATCTTACGGTGAAGATTAGGAACGCACCCTCCTGGAGAGGACGCTGGCTTCCTGTCAGAAGTGAAGGCAGGGCCCTGAGGCTCCTCATGTCAGCCCTCCATAGCTCCAAGGTTGTTATAAAACCTTAATACCAAGAGAGCAAACCCAAAAAACCTTGAATGAAACGATAGGGCTCTAAAAGTAAAAACTTCTCTTCTTCAAACAAATAAACACACTCCCCATTTTGGGGTTCTAATTAGAGAAGGGGTGTCTCTTTCAGATCCCCAGAGGTAATTCTCTCCCCATCAGAAACATCCTAATCTAATTTCTTATTCTGCTTTGGATGTGTAGCATATTCAGGAGCTTTGAATTTAATAAAGGGAAATTTAGTAGCATTGTCAGCTGTGCGTAAAAGCA